CAAGGTGTTTCACTTGGGTTTGGTAATATCACAATATACTACTCCTTCTGTTTCTAAATAATTGATTTACTTATATTTATATATTGTTGAATAATGTGATTTTACATTATTCAATGATCGTGTGTACAAATATTGCCACACCAATGACTAAGATGATGAGATACCAACTTCCTGAATGTACAATTTTCGCCAAGTTCAAATCCGAGCCTTCCCGCAATCAGTTATGCATAACATAAATCCCTAATTTTCATCGTTTTAGCCCTTGTAAGTTGTAACACTAAATACAATGTTAGTTTTTGCGTGCTTTGACGCTAAGCAAGCTAGCTTAAATATTATACCATCGGTTGAGATATCAAATTACCGAAAACTTACAAAAATGCTTTAAACATTTAAAAACACGCAAGTGAAATTTGGCCATAACCTAAATTTAAATAAAAAATTTCAAAAAATGCCATTTTTCAAATGCCACTTTATAAAAATGCCACATTTTTGAAATCTTTACAAAAATGCCACTTTTTCAAAATTATTTTTCTTTATATTATTTATGTTTGGGTTAATTATGTTCTATTAAGGTTTAGTTTTGAGTGTTTAGGAGGTTTTATGTATCAAAACAGTTTTTAGGGTTCAGAATATTAAGATATAGGCTTTATAAATCTATAATTAGTGGTATTTTTGTAAATGGACACTCCTAAATGACATTATTGCGAATGTGCACACAAAAAGTGGTATTTTTGTAATTGCTCCAATTTAAATCGGTTAACTGGGTTTGTTAAACCCAAAACTCTAATAAACTCGTATCCTATATAAATGCTCCTCTAGTATGAGAAAAGAATGGAGAGGCCTAAAGCAGAAGCTAATGGAAAAGAAGTAGAGGAACACAAGTTACATAATCAATGGTTTGTAAACTGGTTTAAGGATGTTGATTCGTTCATAATCCGAGTTTAGATTCAAAATTCAAAAGTGAATATGCGTGTGTGAGTTATATATATAGAGGAAGTGTTTGGTCCTACTCGGATCCTACGGATACAAAACCAAAATCTATAATAAAGTGTTTATAGTCGATTTTGAAAGTAAAATCCTACTCCGGGATCTCTACTTGAAACTAATGATAAAAAGGATTTAAAATTATCAAGATCTCCTGAATCACATTCTTACTCGTTGTTTAATACTGTAAATTTCTAAGCTTTGTTTCGCTTAGTTTATGTAATCTTTTATTGTTCCCGCACCTTGAATCAATGACATTAGTTCTACTGTATTTTAATATTTTCATAATTGTTTAGAAAAGCTTTCAATTTGTTTTTGATGGTAAAACTTAAAAACTGTAACAGCTTTATAATTTCGATAATGATAGTAGTCCGACCCTTTTCTCGAAAGTAAATATTCCAAATAAAAGGAGATCGATATAACCTCCTTTTCCCCCTTTCTAAATAACAATTTCAATCTCGAAAATATACAGTATTTCTTATTATAAGAACTTTGTATAAAAACATATTTAAAATAAATAAAAAGGGACGTAGGCAATATGAACCAAGAAAGTGGGCCCTAGAATCTAAAGAGTGAGATAGCTTTGACCACATAATAGATGCATAGGTGGTGTCTTCACACGTCCCTCTTCTGGTCTTCTGTTTCCCTTTTCTTTCCAAATTCATCTCTTTTAATTTTATTATTATATACTATACATTTTCATCGTTATGATTTTTTTCCATTAAGCCACAAAGTTCTTGTGAACAAAAAAAAAAAAGCCATAAAGTTCTTGTCTATTGCTACCATTTTTACATTATTAAATGTCTACTCCGTGTAAAAAAAAATTCTTACTGTATTTTTTGCCATCTTCTTAGTTTTTATTTTACTCATTTTTTGATAACGATATTTTTCCATTTTTCATTATTTTTATTTATTTTTATCATTATTAACATTTATATGTTCGTCCACCACTTGAAATACAAAGTTATGAGTCTATCACTGTAATATATAAAATGAAAAGTTATAAGGTTTTGTTCTAAGACTATTAAGAATTTGTTTTTTACTTTCATCACGCTTTGATCGGTGTCGAATGTGAAACTTTGATCCATCGCTTTCGATGGGCAAATCTTAAAATATAAGGAATATATCACATTATTTCTTTATTTAGAGTGTTCATTCTTGACGTTTGTTAACCAATAATTGCATGTTTCGCCACAAATAAAAAAAGCTGGACGGCAACAAAACAACATTCTTTTTTTTTTTTTGAAAAAAACAAAACAACATTCTTTATGACCCTATAATTAATCCTTAAATTTCAAACCATAGTAACAAAATAAATAAGGTTTTACTATTTACTTAGTTCCAAGAAGTTTTTCTACACTAAAAGAATTAACCTTCTTTTGTTGATATCATTAAAAGAATTGACGTGGAGATGAAGTGGACAAAAACGATGGCGAAAATGTACAAGAACAATATAAAATGTGTAATTTTGAAAGACCTCCCTTTGAAGAAAATATATCAAATTACGATAGATGGTGGAAGCGTTCGAACAAAAAAATTTGATTAGAAAAACAATTAATTACCAAAATTGAATAATTGGCAACAAAATTAGCTAACTTTTGTCAAAGAATATAAACAATTTCTCTACAAATTTCTTTCCAAGTTCCTTGGCGTGCTCTTACGTAGTCTTTTCTTTTTATTTTGGTCTCAAATGCAATAGATTGACTCTTGGAACAAAACAAGGATAACGGCATTATAGGAATCAAGTCCTTTGAAGCCACATAATGAGAGTTGCCACGATTCTTGCATTCTGCAAAATTAAATGATCACAGGATTTAGATACCGTACATGCAACCAAGAAAAGAAACTAAATTCGTGGTAACGATAACCATCTCAAAAGTTTGTTTCTAGTCGGAAAATGATTCTTGATAATGAACTAGGCGATCAAGGCATGCTTTCAAAACTCAGCACACTATGTGCCTACTTGGTTGGGAACAAAAGAGGGCTAGTCAAAGGCTCTCCAAATTACCAGGGAGGAGAAAATTGTAGACGCATCATAGTTCTTATTCGAAAAATATTATAATGAAATTGTAGTTGTACAATAAAATGTCAAGATTGAAAGGTGATATTGCGAAAGGAACATAGAGTCGCCATTCTTAGAAGATAAATGCTACTCTATATAAACGTTTTTGGAAGTGACTAAAGATAAAATTTTCTTTTACTACATTCATGACTAATTTTCCACAATTGACCAAGTTAAGATGAAGAATTCAGGTGGATATGAGTGAGCGAATGCAAATAATTTGCTATGACTTTTGCATCACTATATATTAGTAACGTTAGAGAATGGATTAAAGATTTTATATATATATATAAAATAGAGAATGGACTTACAATGGAATTCATTTGTCACCTTACTAATTGCCACTTGTTGTTCGAATTAGTCCACTTAAACAAGTCCTATTATATTTTTTTATATATGGACTTAATTCCCATAATATTAAAATCGAGTTACACATTTTTGGTTAATTACAATTGAAAAAGAAGCGCGTGGAGACGCGTGAGTAGAAGAAATTAGTTTGAAGATCCAACGTGAGAGAGAGGGACATGGAGAATCCTTTGGATTGTCAAAGACAAACCCCAAGGTTTAGTGCAGTGCTCTTATCCATTGAGCCAAGTGACACCAATAATCCCATTTACATTTATAATATCTAATTCCCTTAGT